GTTTACCTGTTTGCCGCAGAGCTTAACCCAAATCATGCGGTTGTCACTGAGGCATTCCAAGGCCAAATCTTGGTCTTCGTGAAGAGACTAGAATAATCAAATCTAATAAATAACACAAGGCAAACAGTAGCCTGCCACAGCTGAAAACGGAAGCGATGCTCCGACAACGCGTGAGCAAAGGTCTATGGCTACAAAAGCAAATATTTACCATTTGAAATTACTTACAGTAACTGACAGCTTCCATGAACGAATATGTGTGACCTTCAGCACTTCCTCACGTACTTCTGCGGGCTGAGCAGCAATAGGTTAGAAACAGGTAAAACTTCGAATAAAAATTCACCTTATTGTTGTCACGATAAAGCAGAATCAGCCTTTTGTGACCAACCGCTACATGAACAGCTGTAGTGGGATGGGGATAATCAGATATACAATTTTCAAAAAACATGTAGCCACATATACTAAGTCTTTCGCACATTCTCAGGAACTAAACGGGCAGCGTGAAAACATTTACAGCATTTGAACGGAAACGTCACCGCCAACCTCAGATTTCGGCACCTCGCCACAACAGCGGTAAATCCGATCAACCAATTTAACATCAACCTGCCTCCATGCCGCACTTGCAGGACCAAAGTTCAAACTTCCGCCGCTTAAAAAACGAACAACTGCACGTAGCCACAAAATTGTTAAATCAAACAGGATTACCTGAGTTTCCAAAACCGCAATTCCGCGGCAGCCTAAATGACAGACAGGTGAATTGTAATAATAAAATAACATAAACTGAACCTGCGCAAAGAGAATCCGAAGGCAGCCATCGTCTTCCAGCAGATCTTGCTTTGTCGGACTGTGCCAAAAACTAAAACGATAAATGTTCGAAAATAAAGATGAAAGTATTGCAGCTGCAAATTGCACACACTCGATGATTCAAACATATGACAAGAAGGGTCATCTAATTCTACGGTAATATGCTTAAACAAAATCGATAACCCTTATCCAACGGAAAAACGTTACAAAACAAAAAACAAAAGACTAGAATAAAACATGGTTACAATCGATTACAGTCGGAAGGATAGTACAGTTCACTAAAGCACAGAATATACCAAACTGCTCGTTTGAGACAAATGAAACGACCTTACTTGGTCGTCACAATTTCAAATTCGCTAATGGCACAGTAAATTCAGATCAAATCGAAATTTTAGAAAAAATCGACATTTTAGCACGATGTCTCAATTTTGTGGAAACTAGCGACGTATGAATCCCGCATTGCAGCCAGTCTGTCTCTTTATTCCTGTCAATGCCGCGCAACAATTACATTCTTTCAGCAACTGTGAGATTTACATGCGCATATATATATATATATATATCTTCGTCACAAAGGTCTTTAAACGGTTTACTCCGCACATAAATTTTATTTTACAAAGAGTAAAGAATTCGTGTACACCCCAAATTTTAGCAAGAGTACACGTGCCTTCACGCTTACAGATACATGAAGCTGTAACTAGGCTTACAGATACATGAAGCTGCAAGTTCAGCGCGAATGTGAAAGGTCAGTGAAGTCATTGGCATGCTACAGTGCTCAATCACCTACCCCTTATTTAGGATACCTGCGACCATTCCCAAGCTAGCTAATCTTCATGCAGCTGAATTACTAGCCATCTTCTGCATCGGTACGTTGCTGCCAGATTATCTGACGGCACCGTATCCCCGTGGGTCTAGTGGGGTCTTTGCTCTTTTTCTCTGAAGTCGGGGAAATGATAACGTGTTTGAACGCCAATAAATCATTCTCACACATTCTGTGCACAGCATCAACGTGTGATTCCTAGCAATAAAATAACAGCACCGGTTCAAATTATCGAAGGTTGGTCAACAGGCGAAGCTATCAGAACAGTTCGATAAACAGCCGGCGATTGTCCAAAAT